GAAGTTCATGGTTAAGAAATTTACTAGAAACTTGGACCAGAATTAATACATTGGAAGATTTATGTTATTTTTTGTTTTATATTAATTTTATATATTCTTCCATTTCTCTTGAATATTTTTAAAAATTTTTGTTCTAAATTTTGATTTAAATATTTGTATTCTATACATGGAATGTATCTGTTCCATTTTTGTTTTTTGGACCTGATGATGGTTTGTTAATCAGGCTGAAAACGTTAGTTTTTCAATTATATTTCTCAGCAACAAATTAAGGTGTTTTATTTTCAGTGTTTACTTGCTGAGCACTTTTAATGTTGTCCTTCATTAGAATTGTCTGTTAATTTACATAATATTAAATATCAGAACTTTCAAATACACCTACAACTGCCATAAATGATCGGGCTAAATTTTGGATATATGATTATAGATTAGAAATGAATTTGGCACTAGAGTGAGGCATTGGGTGTCATCTCTTATTAAAATTAATAATTAAATAATTAATTTAGATTAAACTGTTGTAAAGAATCGGCTCAAAGTGGGACTCGAATCTGCAACTTCCATTCATCGTGCAGATGCGTTGCCAGTTACAATTGTTTTCTTCCAGTTTAATCTAAATTAATTATTATAATTATTAATTTTAATAAGAGATGGTGCCTAATGCTTCACTCTAGTGCCAAATTCATTTCTAATCTATAATCATATATCCAAAATTTAGTCCGATCATTTACGGCAGTTGTGGATGTATTTGCTTAAGATATCGGGCTTTGATTGATGTGTATATTTATATATCAAAACTTTCACCTTTACGCTGGAAATTATAATTGTCACAAAACATTTGTCAGCCCTATTTATGAGGTGTTCTACCTTTGTTTTGGAGTAACCCAAATTCTCTAAATGCTTTCAAATTAAATTTTTGAAAATATCAAATTTCACAATTGAATCATGTATCATCAAGGCATAAGTAGTAGTGTTTTTTAAAATTTATTCTAGTTATTTTTTTAATGGCATATCTCCACAATGTTGGGAAAGTTTCCACATCTCTGGTGTTTATTCATTCATTTGTAAGCTTGTGTTTAAATATCTCAATTTTTTCTTTGTTTATCACTGTTATGGGGAATGGACCTCTACTACAATTTTAGATTCTCCCATTTGACTGTTGTTCTTTGTACATTTATAATTGCTGCTAGTACTGTGTTGTCTTTACCTTTCTTGACATTGTATTGGTGTTCTTTAATCCTTCTTTCCTAGTTACCCCAACATATACTTTTGTTAGATCCATCTCTTCATTGACTAATGAGATTCTGTATACTCTTGTCTTAAGTTTATCTGAGAGTGAGTTCTTGTCATTTCTAAGTATACTATATAAGTAGGGTCCCTGTTATAGATCATTGTGGTATTCTTCCATTTGGCTACTTCCATAATTTGTCTGACACTTCTTTGGAATGTTAATTTTGTGTGATGTCCTTCCTTTCTTTTGTCTTTGATTTTAAGTTTGTTGTGTCCTTTTATTAGCTGTTGGGTTATTAGGATTGGGCTATTCAAGCAAATGGATTTTAAAGAACTATAAAAACATTCATAATAGATGAAATTTTTAAAATTTTAATATTTATATTATGTAAATTAATGGGCAGTTTCAACAGAAAACTACAAAGAGGATAAAACTTTGACTCCAACAATAGCCTACAAATAAAGGTATGTTGTGAGTGGTATGCTTCATCATTTGTGGAATTATTTCATCAATTATGAACGTTTTTATAGTTCTTTAAAATATTTATTTTAAAATAAAATGTGATGAAGCACTTTTATAGTAATTTTTTATAATTTTTGTAATTTTAATAATGGTATTTGAATAAATTTAATCTATACTTAATATATTTTTAATTATTTTGCAATAATAATAAAAATCACACTTACAGAACCAAAATTCAGCATGCAGAACAAAGAAGTGAAAGGAAAATGAAAAATTTTGATTGCCTTGAGCAACTGTTTTCAGATTAAAAGAATGGATTTGGAAACTGAATGACAAATGAAATGCTACAATTTTCCTTTCATGTTTTTTGTTCTACACACTGGATTTTTGGTTCTGTGAGTGTGCTTTATACTTTTCATCCAGTATAATGTGTGTTTATTACTTAATAATAGTAATAATAAAACTACAGAATTACAAATTTTTCTTTTTTTCTTTTAGCTAATTATTACAAAATGGCCAGTATTAAAACCAATTGTTAATCAAATTATGGATATATATTTTATGATTTCTTCTGGAGAGCATGATCATGACATTAGTAAAACCATTATTCCAAAATCATCAAGTGGACGCCTTATATCTACAAGGTAAAAATTTAAATTTTATCTGTTTTTACAGTTTTTTAATTTTTATGTTGTTATATGTGGGGTGATCAAAAAGTAACTTTATAAGTGTTATGATTTAAAAACAAAAGCATTCATAATTGAAATCAAATGCAGGTAGTAAGTAATGATCCAGATTGGCAACATTGAATAATTAGAATGGCGTGAATGCAGGACAGTTGTAATATAGCATTTCCAAATGATGACACAAGGTTAGAAAAATAATCTTGTGAAAAAGTTTGAGTAGTTATTCAATTTTTGTGGACCAAAAATGTTTCACCTGCTGAAATCTATTGAGATATACAAGGAGTGTGTTGTCCTGTCAAAGTATTGCATAATAATGTCGAGAAGTTTGCAAGTTGACAAGAAAGTGTGAGTGGTGAAAGCTACAGTGGACATCCAACCTGCTTGACAATGGAAGTCAATGTTGCAAGAACTGACAAACTGATCCAGATTGGCAGACATATTACTTTGCATCAAATAACTTTTCTGAACTCTTTAGCTGAAGCATTATTTTTCTCCATGACAGATTTGATATGGTACAGTACATCAGACTGAATTTGCTGCAGAATATGTTTTGAATTGATTGAATTAATTAATAAATGAATTTTGTAGAACTGATTTTAAGCTATTTGAAGATTAATTAGTAAACAAATTTATTACTAGAAGTAAACTGAATAACCACTTCATATTGGCTGTAATTTTTAATTTAATTAACAATTTTTAAACTTTTAGAAAGAAATAAGTTGCTTTCATTCATAATTCAGATATGCAAATCTCATATGCTAGATAGATTGCTTGCTGTTTTGCATCATGCACTTTACAAGTTTTTTACAATTCACTTACATATTCAGAAATGCATTGCTTTTTTATAATTATACATTTAACTCTAACCTAACTATCATATAGTTCTAGCTTAATTTTCTTTATTTTGTAAATAATTATTACATACAAGATCTCATAAGAACATGTTTTCAACACTTATATTAAATATACTGGTGTGCGAAACTTAAGCAACAATTTTTTTTTTTTGCTGTAACTGCACAAGACATCACCTGAGAAACATGAAATTCGGAATACAGAGACAGTATTCTGTACTTAAAGGATGGAGAAAGCACACTTGCGCAAAAATGAATAGAATGCACACAGTATGGAATCAAATTTTTCTTCTTATTGTAATCTTGCACTGTACGTGCTGATTGCATGTGCTTTGTGTACCCTCACATCACCTGTGATGTGTTCTTTCTGCATACAAATAATTTTTCTACTGAATTGAGTGTTCATTGTACTGATCGCAACAAGACTTTTTCTACAATTTCATAGCTGTCTGTGTAAAAATTACATCATTGCTTAAGTTTTGCACACCAGTGTACAAATAAAATGTCATTATATAAAATTAATACAAAATTATTTTAAACGTTTTTTTAATATTATTTTTATTTTTGTGGCGTAATAAACACTAGTAATGTGTTTTATTCTAAAGACACATGGCAAATTTTCCATCAAATTTCTTTATTAGTTGATACGGTACATTTTTTACTAGTTTCGGGCTTTGCCCCTCTTCAGTCAACTAAAATACAATATATATATTTAACTTATAACAGTAGAGAGTTTACATAAAATAATGAGTACATAAATGATATATAGACGTACCTTTTGGTTACACTTTGTATAATTTAAAAACGTAAAATCTGCTTTAATCTTTGTATAACTAGTATATATTATAAATAAATTAAAAGGTTAAAAGTTCTAAAATCTTCTCTTATAAGCATATTTCGATACTACAAACTGTAAAAAATTTTTAACTGTTTCCTCCCCCTCT